GTATGTCCCTACCACCATAAATATCATTATCACAGCTCTCTTTCAACTCTTGAGGCACGATTTTAAGGTGATATTGTGCTGCTCTGCTAACCTGCTCATGTTTCTAATAAATCTCTCCTGTTCTTCGCTCTGTTTTCGTCGGTTTTGTTGTGTTTCAGATTGTCGTTTTACTCAGCACTGTTTCTTTGGGAGCTTTGGAAAACCAGAGATTAAGGAGATGTCATAAATGTCAACAACAAACATGATGTTGGCTTTGAAAGCATCAGTGAGGCAGACCTTTCAGAGGTTTTCACATATTTGTGTTGTGGTGTTTTCTGTGTTGTGTGTCTGAAGCTGCACTGATCCCAGGTCAGTTTGTAGTTGAGAACACGCCTGTGCTGAGCTTGTGCTCCAAGTGCTGACGCAGTTTAAATGCTTCACTCGGGCTGTATTTAAATGCTCAGTGGGATCCGTCTCACTCTGGGATCGCGCTCGGTTTTATCGTGTTTTGCTCCCTCGTCTGAAGCCGACTGCAGACTGTTGGGATATAAAGCGATCAGCGGCTTTACGAGGCCGACCCAGCTCTGCTCGAGGTGCTTCTGCACTCACGGATTCGGCAAACACTTCTCAGCTCTACACACCGCTTTAGCAGCCACAGGGGACGCTATTTATAGAAATGTTCCCGGACTTTGTTTCTGAGAAGATCTTTTTTCAGAACACAAACTGTTAACCTGCCAGCCTTTTATGGATTTCAGTGCAGTATAAACAAGTGTGTGCGTGTGTGTGTGAAGTAAAGTCAACCTTTTACTCGTTTATAAAGGCTGGATAGTCTCGCCATGACATCACACACTAGTTTAGACACTTCACGGTCAGCACCATCTTTTATTTGGAGCTGAACAGAGGGTGCAGTGCTAAGATATCAGCTAGCTAGCTTAGTTAGGAGTTATAGGAACATAGCGCGCGCACACACACACGCACACACACACACACACACACACACACACACACACACACACACACACCTGTTCACAACGCTTCATAATCACTCAGGCTTCCTGGGCAGTTGGTACAGTGACCTCACAGCAGCCATATTATTGGTCACATGATGCCATTAAAAATGATCCAACAGCACGAACACGGTGCAGAGGTCAGGTTCATGTGAAGCTAGCAGACAGCTAGCAGCTACAGCCAGCTGTGTCACCATCCACCTGGCAGAGGCCACGCCTCTGATTTAAGGCCTCAGGCTCATGTTTGTTTCTGCTGTAAAGTTGGATCTTCTAACATGGGAGTCTGGGGGACTGCCTCCCTGCTGGAGCCTCTGCTGGACGTTAGAGGAACTGCAGCGTTGGCTGGCGTCTGCTCTTTTTTCCAGTTGAATGCACTAATTAAACTCAAGTGTTTAATTTGGATGTTAATTAGCAGGTAACAAGGTGGCAGGTGTTGATTTGTCAAACTTTGGATTCTAGGAGGTCACGGTGGCCACCTCCATCTTTTATATACAGTCTGTAGAGTAAATCGAGCCGTCGACCATGAAAGATTCTGGTGAGATGACTGTGTGGCTATAAATAAACGTGACTTCAGCGTGGCTGGTTTACAGTAGCAGCTGCCCTCCGTCCCCTCCATCCTCCACCGTCTTACCTCACTGCTAATATTAGTCATAGTCTTTCCAGCTGTTCCCAGCATCTGGCCCTCCCGCTCATGATACCAGTCACTTTCTGTGTGTGTTCCCTCGCTCTCTCCACTCCCTTTCCTCCATCTCCATCTGTAATCCTGCAACGAGCTGCAGCTGCAGGGCCGGATGCTGGAAATCGACCACTGAAAACACATTCCACACTCTGACACGACACTCTTCTTCCTCTCATGTGATTGCGTGTCATATTTGTGCTCTTTTAAAGCATCTTTGTTCAGTAAATATCTGTCACATGTGTGCGACAAATACAAACGGGCTGCTCGGACCACAATAGGCGAGCGGCGGCTGACCCGAGGACAGAAAAGCGACAGCGAAACGAGCTGGACGGGGTTGAAGCGTATGAGTGCGAGGTGGCCGCTGCTCGTTAAAGGAGAGGCTCAGCACATTCCTCTGACATCATGCTCCGCCACAGGCACCCACCCTAATCCGCCCTTCCTTTCTCCTTCTTCCAGCTACAGCTCGTTTCTTCCTCCATCTCCCTCTGAGCAGCTGCAGCTTCACAGGCAGAGCTGAAAGACTCACAGCTCTGAACACTGAACGTAAAACCGATTATCTAACATGATTTATTGGTTTATTCCTGAGCGGTTCACCGTGTTCTTGTGACCCAGTGGGCTGCATCATGTGCTCTTTTAACCACCAAGCTCAGGCCTTTATTGTGGCGTCTTCATGGTAACCGTCTTTAAAACAGCTCACAGCCACACCATCATCCATCAGACACTTAAATTTGGTTAAAAAACTGTGTTCCCCACAGCACAACAAGACAAGCCCAGACATGTCTGACAGCGAGAGCCACGTTTTGGCTTTGATGATGATTGAACACCTTAAAACACAGTTTACCTGCTGTAAACATCGATTATATGAGCCCAGCACTTTTATTCTATCTTCCTACCATCACAGTTATGGAGGCTGTGCTGTGATGATTACATATGTTATGGTAACAAATCCCGAAGCATAAGAAGCGAAAGTCATTCATTATTATTATCATGGTCCAAGTAAAGTTTACAAGGTCGATCGATGTAGGCGAGGATGAAGAGAATCAGGAGAACAATAAAAGATGATCAGCCTTCAAAGGAACGCAGGAAGCTAATGATCAGGCTTTTTGCCTGCTGTGGTCTGAATCAGTCGGAGCTTTGGTGTCTGCTCACACAGAGTGAAACGCAACGCGTCACTATGAACCAGGTGGGAACGTCCAGTCTGCTTATTGGCCAGGTGTGTTTGAGGCAGGAGCGACAAAGGTAAACACAGGTACCCTCTGTGTACGCCACACACCACAAATGAAGCGCTTTGGCGATTGCTTGGAACTGAGCGGAGATCTCGTCCGACCTGAGTAACCAGCTCAGGTGTGAAAAACCCACACTAAAGAAGACATCAGACAATTAGACGAAAAAACACTAAAAACAAGTACGGGCTAAAATATTCAAATCAAAAAACTCCAAAAATCAGAATCTGTAATCTCAATGTGCGGGGAGGCGAACGAGGAGAGGCCAAAGAAAAGCCCGGGTAATCATCCATGAATAATAATCTGCTGGTTTCCAGTGTTCTCGGTTGGTCAGCCTCCCATATGTCCGAGTGCGAGTCGTCCGTTTCATGCAAGTGTAACATGCAGAGCGGTGCACATGCTAACATGTCTTTAGCCTCGTCACTCTCCTGTCAGTGGGACCTAATTAAACCACAATGTTTGTAACAACAAACCTAATGAGACACTGACACTCTGTCACCCAACCGAACAGGGATATTTTAGATTAGATAACAAAGGAAACAAGGCTACAGCTGTCCAGAGCCTCGGTATGAGCAATGAAAGGATGAAAGCAGTCAGCTGTTGAGAGCAGATCCTGGAACTGACTGGAGTTTGGGGGAAATCATAAAGTTTAAGCATTTCTTTCATTATGAAAATAAAGTTCTTGGAAAGAATATCGGCGTCAGCAGATCATTGCTAGAGAAAAGTCTGAATGCACGAGCGGTGCATCTCTAGTTTGGAAGCGTTGGGGCTGCATGTGTTTAGAAAGGCTCAGAGATCCAGACGTAGACCCAGAAAGCTTACATCCAGCAGCAGAATGATTTTTCTCTCATACCAATATAAGCAGATGTTTGAGGGGAAATTTGGGGGAAATTGTCGAGCAGCCTGAGGCGTATCGGGTTAATCTGCACTTCCATCTCTAAGACCAGCTGAGTAAAGAGAAATGACTGAAGCTGTGAGGCTCTCAGCGTCTCCCTTCTTTGTGGTTACAAGTGGTGTTTCAGTGCTGATGAAGAGCTTCCTGTGTGTGGAGCGTGTTTACGCGTCACTGACCTCCATCAGCCGTTCACTGGAGGTTTAAATCTGTGCTGCTGCAGACGCCCCCTGCCCCATACTTTTCCCCACATTGAGACTGTGGTCTCTTTATTTTTAAGTAGACGGCAGGCTGTGAAACTAAAGTCCAGACTCTTATACCTGGGCACCATCCATCTACCCATCCAGACGACCTCTCACAGGGTCAAACATCCGATCTGACAGTGAGATTATTTAAGAAGAGTGCATATATGGACTTTACCTCAAAGAAACCTCTACAATCTTTCCATCTTCAAGTTACTTTAAATGACTAATAGATTTTTATCATTAAGAGTTCTTGTATCCACTTGTGAGAGACTTCCTTGGAATATGAAGATATCCGCTGCATCTGTGTGAAGAAGTGTTTCTCTGTGTCTGTGGAACCTGAAGGTCTCAGATCCTCTTCAAAGTGTGCTGAAGCTTTAAAATGAGCACATATAGAGGCTGGACATTCACAGCAGTGAATCTCTCTGAGCCGCTCTCCTGGCCAGGCTCTAACAGCGCACACGTAAAAAGTCAGTAAAATGTGGGCTGTCCACAGACTCAAGCGCGGAGCGTGAAACTGCGCTGGCTTCACAACACGTTACCGTCAGAGGATCAGCCCTCTGGCTGCTGCAGGAGCTCCTGATTGTTAAAAGATGGAAGAAATGAATTCAGAGTTCAAATGAAGCCAGTGAGCTCAGGGTTTACTTTGATGCTGAAGCTCCTGGACGCGATGACCCGACGAGGTCAGAACATGCGGTGAGTCTGTGGGTTTAGCTGTGAGCGGCCATCAGGACAGACGGATGATGACTCAGCTTTCTGCTGGTTTCTCTGTGATCTCAGCAGCGTCTGCTTCTCATTACTGACCTGACCGATCCTCTGGAACCACCATCGCAGCTCCAATCACACACACTCATTCACAGACATCAGTGTGTGTGTGTGTGTGTGTGTGTGTGTGTGTGTGTGTGTGTGTGTGTGTGTGTGTGTGTGTGTGTGTGTGTGTGTGTGTGTGTGTGTGTGTGTGTGTGTGTGTGCACTCACATGTGCGGCTCACAGCGGGTTCAGGTGGCACGGAGCTCTGGGCTGATCGTCCTGCTTCCTGCGGCGGTGAGAGCAGCAGCAGCGTCCACGTCTGTCTGCAGGCTGGCAGGAAACACTCATCACTCTGCCTGCGAGCAGGGGGGGAGGGAGAGGAGGCCGGGATGGAGGCAGAGCCGGGGCTGAGAGGAGGAAGGAGGTGAGGGAGGCCTACTCTCTGCACACTGTGTGGAAACTTTCCTCATCAGATGGAAGAGCGTGGCCAGCTCCCTGTCCATGTTCTCTGCCCGCTTCTGCATCTGCGCCTCCTCCTCAGCCTCACTCTCCTCCCCTTGTGGACCCGCCTCCTGCGTCTTCTCCATCAAACATTTAAGAATGCAGCCATCTCGTGGCTCCTCAGGCCATTACAGGGGAAACAGGGCAGAAGCATTCAGCAGAAGCCTCGCTGTGTGCTCGTTCAGGCTGCAGGACATGAAAAGACTCAGATATCAGCTGAGCATCTGAAGGTGCAACAATACTAAGTTTAACTTCCACCAGCTTCTTTTTAAAATTCTCCTCCAGACGTGTCCTCCAGAGGCTCGTTGACTCGCTGCACCATCTTGTGGAATAAACTGGTATTACACACAAGTGCCAGATTTGTTTCTGGACATGAAGTCATCGTTTTTATGTGTTTTAGCAGCTTTATATCGTTTAGTTTTGAAACATATGTTATGAGTTTAGCAATTCTTGCTTCTGGTCTCATATATGTTGAGTCCAGCTTTACCACTCAAACTCACATGACCGATTAAAGATGCCACAGCAACAAAATGCTGCCACACTGAGTCTCCATGTCAGCATGTGTAGACTAACTAACCCTTACGCCCCTAAACCAGAATTATGATAAAGAAAAAAATATGTATTGCCTCCATTTTTAGGTAAGGAGTTGTAACTTTGCTATTTGCAAAATTTGTGCTGTTAAAATGTTGTTTTGTTTTCAATTTTCTTAATACAGTTAAAATGAAAAAATAACAGTAAATTCAGACCTGTGACGTTGTGCTCAAAGAATGACACTAAACAAGGCGAGGAAACCGCTTTTAAAGGTGAAATGCAAAATCAGAAGTAGTCAAAAACAGCCGATTATACCCGGGACCTCAGAGGGTTTGAAGGGAGTCATACTGCACCCACTCCAGCAGCACCTCAACTATGGGGCGCCGTTTGTAAAGTGAAACATGCTGAAATTAACGGCAACATTTTTCCACATTTAGCTCAAAACAAGTCCTTTTTTACAACATTTAGTAAAATATTTGTAACTTCTCATAATTAAAACAGAATTTTAAATGTAAAATCTAAATATTATATTTAAATCTAAATGTTAAACGTTAAATCTAAATGTTTAGGCTAATATGCAAATGTATTGTACGGATCAACGGAAATACCAAAATAAAAGCTTCCCGAAAACCTCCGGTGCAAAAGTGTGCCGGTGTTGTGCCAGAAACTGATTGCCGTCTGCGGGAGCGCGCGCAGCTGCTTAAAGCTGCAGCGCCCGGATTACTTGCGTTGCCAGCTACTTCCATGCAACTGATATAACGGGCGGGGGGGGCAAACAAACACATTTATGCCTTTGTTATTAGGCAAAGGCGGATGTCATTCAGAAGGGTCATATGTCAAATATTACATCTCAAACAGTCCCTTAGAACTGCTGGATAACCTGTAAAGGAACATTAACATTGATAATAACTCATTTTCAGCCTGCCAAAAAGTGATTGTGGCCTATATCTTGTTAATGAAATACTATTTCTGCTTCAAACTTGCTGCATGTCTTTCTGAAGGGTCCTATGTGACATATTATATCTCAAACAGTCCCTTAGAACTGCTGAATAACCATTAAGGGAACGATAAAACTGATAATATGCAATTTCCAACCTGCCAAAAAGTGATTGCCGCCTATATCTTGTCACTGAAACAATATTTCTGCATCAAACTTGTTGGGTGTCATCCAAAAGGGTTACATGTGACACATTATATCTCAAACAGTCTCTAAGGACTGTTGAATAACTATTAAAGGACCATTAATACCCATAATATGCCATTTTCGACCTGCCAAAAAGTGATTGCTGCCTATAACTTGTCACTGAGATACTATTTCTGCTTCAAACTTGTTGGGTATCATCCAAAAGGATGATATGTGGCACATCATATCCCAACCAGTCTCTAAGAAATGCTGAATAACCTTTAAAGGGTCATTAATACCCATAATATGCCATTTTCAACCTGCCAAAAAGTGATTGCCACCTATATCTTGTCACTGAAACAATGTTTCTGCTTCAAAATTGTTGGATATCATCCAGAAGGGTTACATGTGACATATTATATCCCACATACTCTCCAAGAACTGCTGAATAACTTTTAAAGGAACATTAATACCCATAATATGCCATTTTCGACCTGCCAAAAAGTGATTGCTGCCTATAACTTGTCACTGAGATACTATTTCTGCTTCAAAGTTGTTGGATGTCATTCAGATGGGTCATATGTCAAATATTACATCTCAAAAAATCCCTCAGAACTGCTAAATTACCATTAAGGGAACAATAAAACTGACAATATACAATTTTCAACCTGCCAAAAAGTGATTGTGGCCTATATCTTGTCACTGAAACAATATTTCTGCTTCAAACTTGTTGGGTATCATCCAAAAGGATGATATGTGGCACATCATATCCCAACCAGTCTCTAAGAAATGCTGAATAACCTTTAAAGGGTCATTAATACCCATAATATGCCATTTTCAGTCTGCCAAAAAGTGATTGCCACCTATATCTTGTCACTGAAACAATGTTTCTGCTTCAAAATTGTTGGATATCATCCAGAAGGGTTACATGTGACATATTATATCCCACATACTCTCCAAGAACTGCTGAATAACTTTTAAAGGAACATTAACATTGATAATATGCCATTTTCAAGCTGCCAAAAAGTGATTGTGGACTATAACTTGTCACTGAAACAATATTTCTGCATCAAACTTGTTAGGTATCATCCAAAAGGGTTACATGTGACACATTATATCTCAAACAGTCTCTAAGGACTGTTGAATAACTATTAAAGGACCATTAATACCCATAATATGCCATTTTCGACCTGCCAAAAAGTGATTGCTGCCTATAACTTGTCACTGAGATACTACTTCTGCTTCAAAGTTGTTGGATGTCATTCAGATGGGTCATATGTCAAATATTACATCTCAAAAAATCCCTCAGAACTGCTAAATTACCATTAAGGGAACAATAAAACTGACAATATGCAATTTTCAACCTGCCAAAAAGTGATTGTGGCCTATATCTTGTCACTGAAACAATATTTCTGCTTCAAACTTGTTGGGTATCATCCAAAAGGATGATATGTGGCACATCATATCCCAAACAGTCTCTAAGAAATGCTGAATAACCTTTAAAGGATCATTAATACCCATAATATGCCATTTTCAACCTGCCAAAAAGTGATTGTGGCCTATATCTTGTTAATGAAATACTATTTCTGCTTCAAACTTGCTGCATGTCTTTCTGAAGGGTCCTATGTGACATATTATATCTCAAACAGTCCCTTAGAACTGCTGAATAACCATTAAGGGAACGATAAAACTGATAATATGCAATTTCCAACCTGCCAAAAAGTGATTGTGGACTATAATCAATCAATCAAAGCTTTATTCGTCACATGCAGGTTGCCCCCCCCCCCCCCCCCCGACCTTACACATATAGCACAAACAGTACATGGGGATACAGGTCGGAGATTGGTAGAATCAGAGAAAAAAACATTGAAATGTACACTACAATGGGGAAAGTACAAGAGGAAAAAAGAGACCCCTACTCATACTGTGCTTCCATGGTAGGACAGCATGAGAACAGGAAACAAAAAACTCCTTTGCACAAAAAAGCACATAAATGTCCACAGCACAACATTGTGAAGACATGACAAGCCACAGGGGTGGGTGGGGGGTGAGGAGTAATCCGAAGCAAACACAGCAGCCGCCCTGCACAGCGCTATCATTCCAGCGCGGGCTCAGACCCGCCGTGTTCCCTCGCAGGAAACAAGCATCGAAGGCGTTGGAAAGGGAGGGGGGATGAGTGAGTGCTTATCAGTGTAAGTGTGTGTGTGTGCGTGTCCATAGTTCAGCTGAGACAGTGTCCTTCGGCCTATCAGGCTAAGTAAACAGTCCTCCAGCCAATCCAGGTGTCCTTGCATGGGATGGGAAGAATAGCCGTAACACAGTCATTATCAGGGAGTGATTGTTTGGCTCCAGCCTTGGGCCTGCAGCTGGCGCGTTATGGGGGTCCGCAATGTTCATGTTGATTTTGTTAATTTTCATGCGAGCAGCCCAGGAGAATTTTTCAGGCTGCTCTTTAACACTCCGACACTGGCCTCTCGATCTCCCGTTGGAGAGTCGCGAGCCTCCCTATGATGGTATCAAACTTCTGTTCCATGGTGTTATCGTTCTTTTGATTCTGAGACCTCACAGCTGCAGTGATCCGTTCCGCGATGTTTTCCAACTGTCGCTCAAGGGTCTCATTTTGAGCAGGCCTCTCTCTGATGTATCCCCTCATACGCTCAATGTTGTTGCTTTGAGCCTTCACAGCAGCTGCAAGCGTCTCCAAGGTGTTGACCATATTACGTTCGTTGTGAGAGGTTGCGCCTCGTTCCATTTCGATTCCAGCGGGCAGCCTTGGGGGGGGGTTTGAACAGCCGGTTCCACTCTCTTATTTCTCCGATAAACCAGGGCTAAGCCAACTCCGATCAGCATGAACCCTGTTATCATGGTTCCGAATAGATAGATATCTTCAGCGTCCTCGATCGACAGTCCCGCCAGGCACATGATCCTCCAGTTCTGCCACCCGTCCATCGTGTATCCGGCAGGGAAAGTCCCTCCAGGGCACTCGGGCTCTCCTGAGCCCAGACTTCTCGTTGAGAAAAGGGAGTCAATAGCATTCAGAGACCAGTTGATCAAATCCATAGTTCTCTTTTAGGTTTAGAGAACGACAGTGGGAGGCTATTCCAGGGAAAGTCACTTGTCACTGAAACAATGTTTCCGCTTCAAAATTGTTGGGTATCATCCAGAAGGGTTACATGTGACATATTATATCCGAAACACTCTCCAAGAACTGCTGAATAACTTTTAAAAGAACATTAATACCGATAATATGCCATTTTCAGCCTGCCAAAAAGTGATTGTGGCCTATATCTTGTCACTGAAAAAGTATTTCTGCATCAAACTTGTTGGGTATCATCCAAAAGGATCATATGTGGCACATCATATCCCAAACAGTCTGTAGGAAATCCTTAATAACCTTTAAGGGAACAATAGAACTGATAATATGCAATTTCCAACCTGCCAAAAGGTGATTGCTGCCTATATCTTGTCACTGAAACAATATTTCTGCT